GACTATCTCTGAAATATAAGTTAAATACAAAAAATGTTTTATGATTATAACAAACTGATACTAGAAATTTATTTAACAAAGAAAATTTTTTACTTTACTTCTTGTTTTTATATAAAATGCAAATTAATCACGGATATTAAAATGAATTTTTTTTTATTACAAATAAATGGGACTAGAAATTTAAAAATCAAGAAAACTGAATTCACTGCTTGCCTGAATTTAAAACGTAAAAGAATTTAAATAAAATTAAAATTAAAATTTAAATTAGAATTTAAATGTTTGAATATAGTCATAGTCATACCCACAAATAAAAAAATTGGTTTTCTTTGTTACCACAATAGCGTGCAAGCGCTTGCGACCAATTTTTTTTTAACTAAACAATTTTTTAACTAATCTGTTTTTGCTGAGAATTTGTAATTGTATCTTTATTTCGCTATGTGATTTATGCATAAAGAAAATTAAAATAAACTATAAAAATGACCTGGCAATAATTGTGAAATATGAAATTTATAAGCTCGTGTTTATTATTTTCAAACCTTTTCTATTTTTCTATTTGTAAAACATTTCTTTTGATGATGCAATTTATTACATAATGGTATAAGGGTTCATCCATAAAGAACATCAAGCAGAACTTAAATAGTAATTAGAAGTAGAAGATCATTGGCTCTATTCAGTGGAGATTTTCATTGAACATTAATCACTATATTATTTTATATATATATATATATATATATATATATATATATATATATATAATATATATATATATATATATATATATATATAAACTTTAATTTATCTAATTTAATATATACATATATATACATATATATATATATATATATATATATATATATATATATATATATATATATATATATATATATATATATATATTTATATATATATATATATATATAAATATATATATATATATATATATATATATATATTTATATATATATATATATATATATATATATGTATATATATATATATATATATATATATATATATATATATATATATATATATATACAAATAAATATATATAAATATATATATATATAAATGTATGTATAAATATATATATATATATATATATATATACATATATATATATATATATATATATATATAAATATATATATATATATAAATATATATATATATATGTATATATATATATATTTATATATATATATATATATATATATATATATATATATATATATATATATATATACATATATATATATATATATATATATATATATATATATATATATATATATATATATATATATATATATATATATATATATATATATATATATATATATATATATATATATATATGTATATATTAAATTCTAATTCACTCCTAACAAGGCTTCTAGCAAAATTTTAGTAAAATAAATTTGCAGTTACTAGACAAAGAAGAAAAGAGTGTAAGTGCAAGGAAACAGTTGAAAGATGAATTGAAAGTTAAAGTTTGTATGAGTCAGGGAAACATAAAGATGGGAGAGAGTTCCGAAAAGATATATCACTGGAAAAAAAACTAGATAAATTAAAGTCTTTATAGCATGCAGGGACAGATACATTAAAAGGATGAGCCTTTACTGAATAACAAGTCAAGCGAGAATGAGTTTTGGTTGATGAAATTAATGATGATAGCTCTTTGAGCAGCAACCATTCATCAATATAGGAATGTTGGTAGTATTGTGATAGTTGTTTGCAGTAAATAACTAAGTTTTGTTGGAACTAAAATTCGCAAGTCACTGCAAGCCCCAATCTATTCTAGAATTGAGATCAGATTCAAGATCTGCTGTCTGTTCTAAGCTATTGAAAAGAGTTGACTTTTGTCAAGACAAAAGTATAAAGAATTGACTTTTTGTCAATACAGAAGTATAAAGTTGAATCATCGCAAATAGAGCCATTTTAGGTTTTTAGTAAGATCATTAATGTAGATAAGAAAATAAAAACAGGACCAGGGATAGAATCTTGAGGTACCCCAGAAGTTACTGAAAATAAAGAAGAGTGTTTGCCTTCAAGGATGACTTTGATAAAGAAACAGGATTCAGTCAAGCACCTATTAAATAGTTTAGAGAAAATTGAAGATAGTTCTGGAAAACACATTTGAAAGACTTTGAAAGGAATGTTGTCTAAAGGATACCCCAAAGGATACCCAGCAATACCCAGATGAAAGATACCTAGTACAATAACTAGTGAATAATTTATTGTGGTTTTTTGTATTTTTTTTTCTGACTAGAACTATTTTTGTTTATTGTTGTTTTTTCAAAACTAATTACACTGATACAAAGAAGAAACAAAACAAAACAAAATTGTATTTTTTTCATATTATTATTATAAGATCATTTAAAACTAAATTTTATGGTTCAATAATTTAGTTTTTTTTGAAGATGGGTGCAGTTATTCTATAATATTTAATTTAGGGTTATCTGAAGTTAGATATAACAGTAATGGTAAAAGGAGATCC